TTCGTAGCTTGGTGCGGAGAATGGCAAAACTCACTGATGATGCTGGCGAAACGTTTGGGAATGTACCAAGTCCACTGTCGGATGCTGGGAATCATGACAACTACTATGGCAGACGACGTCGGGCTAGGTGCGTTCTACTAAGTCGCCCTGGCAACAAGACCAAGTTGCGACAACGAGATGAACCCACTTCTATAAATCTAAAGAAGACTGCGACTACACCAGAGGCCACAACATATTGGTCTACATATCTTCAAATATAGTAATTCCTATTGAAGATGAATAAGATGTTTATTAGCGAAAATAGCAATGTCTCTCATAAGAACAAACTTAGGTCGGTACTTCAAGAATTGCTGAGTAAAAAGTAAATTCAAAGCATATCTTTCGTTAAATGAGTAACCTTTTTAGCTTAGAAATGCTTAACTACTTTTGCTTGGTGCATGGTTATCAGTTAAATCAGTTTCTAATATAGAAAAAGATATACGGCTCATTAATTCGACTCTTATAAATTAGTTTGAGCATACTGCTAAGGAAAATTGGTAAAAAAATATAATTTAAGGCAGTCTGTGAATATACATTACATTAAGATACTTCAATGGTAGTAGGCTCAACCACTAAGTAGTATTTTATAAGAAAGAGGGTCAGTAGCTTTTATCTAGAACCAGGGATGGCAGTCGCGCCTCAGCTCCATCACTCGAAAGAGGTAAAAGCGAGCACAAGGATCTTCAAAAGCCAGCTTCTCTTCATAAGATCTTATTACGCCTAGAAGCTCAAGTGGCTCTGAAGGAATACAAATATTGAGACACTCATTTATCCCAAGCAAATTGTTCAAGGATAGGCCATCCTGATTGCCAAAAGTGGATAATGTGCAGATGGAGTAGCCCCATAATGTGAACTGACTTTTATTTAGAAGGAAAAGTTGAAGAGATTTATGAATTGTCTCACTCCTCACAGGACTCATGAGCTTAGCATGCACGCAACTAAACATAGGTCAACGATACAGGGTCAAAAGCTAGGAGACAGCTGGAAACAGAACCACATCTGCATCTATTTTATGTATCATTTTCGCTCATCTGCAATCATGTGAGGTAAGCATGAGTTAACATAATAATGTGATACCTCATTAAGATGTCAAGTTAGGACAAATGAGTAGAATGGCAGTCTACCAGCTTTATCATGTTGTGTATTTGTGCTTCTTTTCATAAATGATGGTATCTCGCTCTGACAATGGAACATACGAAAGCTTAGCAAGGACTGACGTAAGATAAAGAGCAGAGGACTTCTTCGCGTAATTTGCACCTAGACAATCATAATTCGAAGCCTTTTTGCATTGAAACTCCCAAAAATTGTTTCTGATGAGGTCAATTCACGAAGCACTTTCAACCAATTTTGCTTTAGAGACTAAAGGTATGGTCACATTAACCTAGTAAGGGATTCTTTGAAACCCAGATTTTGTTTATGCATTATCATATTATTGCTATTGCCAGGCTAAAAACAAATAAGACACTAGCTTGGGGGGATTTAAACGTTATAATCTTGTGAACGAATGGAGCCTTCGGTTTCTAATCACAAAGAGTCATGCTAAACTATTCAAATCTTTAAATATTCAAAATTTAGCAAGCAACAATATATTAAGCACAATTAATACGGCAAGATTTATACAAACACAAGTAAATACATTATATATCACCTTGTTAAGTATGACAGCACAGTCTTGTGGCCAGTTCACAAGTTCTTCTGAGACTTTTTGAAATAGTTGGCCTGTTTCAAGGTTCTGCGTGTCTGTGTTAGGAGAGCTCTGCAATTTGGCTAGGTCAGCATTCTCCTGTTCGCTCTTACCAGCAGAAGTTTGCGAAGCGGTAGTAAGAGACTCGAGAGAGCTGACTGGAGCTATAAAAATATAAAATAGCAGAAGTATAATTTATTAATATCCGTTATTACAATAGCCAGTAGTTTAGCAGCACTAAAAAGCATTGCTAACAGATTCTTTAACATTATTAATGGTACATCTATTATCATCAATCTCAGCTATGAAGGCGGTAGTAACACCATAGATAATAGGATGTCTAAAAGGGGG